CACTAGACCACACTGCCACTCTGTACCTCAAGGACCACATCAGCAAATGGAAATTCAAATCCTTGAGGGGCATCTTGTGAGTATCAGGGTTTGTGTTGAAGCAGTTCAGGCAAAGGATATTTTTGCTGTTTGCATCATCACTTCTTTCTGTTATCCTCCCGTTTGTCTCTCCAGTGGCAGACGCCAGCACTTTCGTAGAAGGCTGAAGCCATCCAATGTGAACATCCCATCCACTCCTTTCCCTACACCAGCATATTGTTTCCCATAATAGAAGATCTCTTTTGTTTTCTTTTTTGATAATTTAAATAGCTTTATCCTACAGTTTCTTAGGGCCCAGCAGTCTACAGGTATGAGATCATTGAAAGGCGATCACTCCAGTTTTCATGACCTTCCATTTGCATGTGCACGGTGCAGAATCTCAGCCACCCCTAAGGCCACTGCAGACCTTGCTGGAAATCACAGCAGGTGCCCTGGGTGCTCATGAACTGTGATGAATTCTACGAACTCTGTGCACGAATTCTTCAAGCCTCAATTTTTCATCTGTAAAGGGAGGATGATGACAGCTTTTTCAGGTGACTGTTTTGAGGATAAAATTAGGCCACACTTCAATTGTATAAAGCAATTAGCCCTTTGGTCGGCTTGTATTAAAGGAATGACGGTTGTTACTGGTCTTGTTTGTTAAGTTTCTGCTAATAGGCCTGGCCTGCCAGCTGCTCCAAGGTGTTGAGCCGATCCCCAGGGCAGCCAGCTAGTTATGCGAAGGTGGTGATGGGTGATGGGTGGGTGATGAGGTCGCAGTGCTTTCTGCTTTTTCATTCCTGCTGCCAAGTTTGGTGGGAAAAGGATTTCTAGTTGGGCTCTTTTGGTTGCCGGGGTCAGAAAACTACTTACATTAGGTTGAATCCTATGAAATTAAGAATCATACGAAGTTGCATTTTTGAAGTTACATTTTTGAAGTTGCGTTGTATATCAAAAATGATCAAATGTCAGCAATTTTTTATGTTTAAATGTAATGCCTAAAGAGAGATAACTGCTAATAGGTTTATCCTCTTATACTGTCCTACTTCTTGTTCTGTTTTTTTTTTTACAAATATATTTTGGAGAGCTGTCTATTTTAATAGATATAAATTCTACCTCATTCTAACAGATACATTATATTCCATTGTTTGAATAGATTTAGATTTCGTTTAGCCAAGTTCTTATTCATGGACATTTAGGTTGTTTCTGGATTTTGTTTTTGTTCTTACAAAAAATGATGCAATGTAAATATTTACATATACAACTTTGTACATTATTTTTTAGTATCGCTGTGGTATGAACTACTAAAAGTAGAGCTGCTGGGTTAAAGGGTATGTGCATTTTAAGTTTTGACAAGCTTTGCAAAGTTCCCTTCAAAACAGTTGCCCAAATTTAGATTTCTATCAGCAGTAAACAGTCTTGCCATAATACTAATTTCAAACTTTATAATCTTTACCAATCTAATGGGTACAAAACGGAATTTTAGTATTTTATTTTGCATTTATTTGACTATATGTGATGTTAAACAATTTTCATATGTTATTTATTTTGCTATTGTATTAGTTTGAGCTGCCATAACAAAACACCTTAGACTGGATAGCTTAATCAACAGGAATTTATTTTTCATAGTTCTAGAGGCTGGGAGGTCTAAGATCAAGGTGCTAACTCATTCGGTTCCTGGTGAGGGCTTGCTTTCTGGCTTGCAGAAGGCTGCCTTCTCCCTGGGGAGGGCTGGGGAGGGGAGAGAGAGAGAGAGAGAGAGAGAGAGAGAGAGAGATACCTCTCGGGAAGTGGAGCTCTGGTCTCTCTCCCTCTCCTTATAGGGACACTAATCCCATCATGGGGCACCACCCTCATGACCTCATCTAAACCTAATCACCCCCAAAGGCCCCACCTCCAAATACTGTAATATTGGGGGTTGGGGCTTTAACATATGAATTGTGGGGGACACACATTCAGTCCATAACACCTGTGAGCCATCTGCTGCTACGCTCTGTCCCTATCTCCCTTGGGTTATCTTTTTCTTACTAATTTGTTAGAATTCTTTATCAGTGAAGAAAACCAGCAGTTTAGGGTGCATTTTAGGAGTGCCTTAGGATTTCTGCTTCAGTCTTTACATGTCATGCGTGTACTGGGGAAGTGGGTGGTGTGCTGGCGGGTTAGAAAGCTTTGAGTTTCAATTATTTTTTGTTTGTTTCTTACCATGATTTATTACTTGGTTTTGCTGTTTGTCACTGGCTAACAGAGGGTCTGTTAGTTAGTTCTCATTTTATGAATATTATGCCTGAAAGCACTTGGACGTTTTCCCATCTTGCATCTTACTTCACAGAGAACTCCTCGACTGTCAGAACGGAAGGAGGGAGGAGGGATATTAGGATTGGGAAGGAGTGGAGGGAGGCTGGCATCCCAAACCCTCTCCCCTCATTTTTTTCTTTGATTTGGTTTTTCTTTCTTTCCTTCTCTTTCTCCCCCTTCCTTCCTTTCTGTTTTTCTTTCTCTTTTTTTCCTTTGTTTCTGGCTGTGTACTATAAAAATACAATTCTGGAACATGTGGTGGGATTCCCACCATGGGGACTCAGATGGAATTTCAAGTCACTCACCATAATTCAGCTATAAATTAGAGAATTCTTATGAATCGAATAGGATGGAATGTGGTTTCGTGTTTTCTTCCCCCAGGGACCCTGCTCAATTTGGCAATAGGAAACTAAATTAAGGGTGGGATTAGTTCTAGGAAGTGGAGTTTTAGTATAGCTGCATGGCTAATCCAAATACTGTAGACAGTGTCTTAGTTATCTATGCTGATGAGAGATCAGGTGGTGGGTAACAATCCCTCAAATGTGCCAGAAACTTATTTCTGCCTTTGTTCTTTTATCCCAGTTATCCTTCCACTAGAAAAACTATCAAAGCGAATTGATTTCTACTCATTTTACTCTCTTGTTTTCCACCAACAACATAGGCAGGGAGGCCACATGCTGCAGAGGAAAAACAGAACATCAGACTAGCAGTCTGGAGACCTCGATTTTATCCTGTGCGTGCCCCGCGCTAGCCTGAGACCAGGGACAAAGTCACAAGGACTCTCGGGGTCTCAGTTTCTTCCCTGTAATAGCAGCAAAAGAACAGCAATCTTCCAGGGGGGCTGGGGGAGCTGAGTGGCCCTGTAAAGTGGAAGCTGGCACTGGTGCCGCCTGGGCCGCAGAGCCGGGCCATTTGCACAGTGCTGTTTGCATAGTTCTGGACACAGAGAAGCTTTCCTTCCTCAACCCCAAAGTACTAACACTCCCTTATCTTCCTAGGCTGCTATAGCTAATTACCACAAACCTGATGACTTAAAACAACAGAAGTTTCTTCCCTCACAATTCTTGAGGCCGGAAGTTCAAATCCACCGTGTCACTGTGCTCCTTCTAAAGTTACTAAGGGGAGGATCCGTCTAGCTTTCTCCTGCTTCTGGTGGCTCCAGTATTGCTTGGTTGGTGGCGGCACCACTCCAGTCTTTGTCTTGGTGGTCACACTGCCTTCTCCAGTCTGTGTCTTATAAGGACACTTGTCATTGGATTCAGGGCACACCTGGATCATCTAGGACGATCTCATCTCAAGATGAGCCTCGGTTTCCTTTCTGTGAGCCGAGATTGGTAGTAGCCAGGACTGCTGTGAGGACTCAGGCATCACATGTGGAATCCGGCTGAGTAGGGGCCTGAATACTTACCGCTATGACTGGGACTCCTATCCCTCCTCTGAGGCCATCTGGACTCCCCCACCCCCTCCCCCACCCTCCCCCACCCAGCCAGGACGGCCCATGCCCCCCCAGTCTGGCACTGGCGGCACAGGGCTCCTCTGCTGCCCGCTCCAGGCCATTTGTGTGGACTCGGGGTGCTTTTCTCCTCATCCTCTGGGCCTTGCTCAGCGCTGGCATACAGCTGGTGCTCAGAGCTCGTCCCCATAATGCAGGAACCACTGTGTACCTGCTGTTAGCACTGAGCCTGGCATAGTAGGTCTCTGTGAAATGAACAGGCAAATGAATGAGAGTATAGAATCACTCTCTGGATAGAACTTTTAAACCTTCCGAAATTTCCCCCTCTTCTGATTTGCCATGGGAGCAGGGAAATTATCATCATGCTTGCTAACACACGTTATTAATATTTAGTGCCAAGCTTGGTTATGCACATGGATGTCCTAACTTAAACCTCCTTACAGCCCATGAGGTAGGTACTGGTACCATCCTTCTTTATTTCTTTAAATTTTTTTATTGAGGTAAAATATACACATACAATTTACCATCTTTACCATTTTTAACTGTACAAATCAGTGCTAATAAATACACTTACATTCTTTTTTCTCCCTTTCTGTCTCCCTCCCTCTCCCCTTCTGGCTTCCAGTAACCACCAATCTTTCTGATTTCCACTTTTTTTTTTTAGCTCCTGAATATAAGCAGGAACATGCAATTAGGCCAAACACAGAAAGACAAACGTCCTTCCTTAAAACACAGCGAGCCTCAGAGAGGCCCAGAAACTTCCCAGTTACTCTGCTAGGAGGTGGTGGCAGGGAAGGACTGCGGCCTTGCCGGGCTGGCCTTCCTTGCAGCCGCGGGCAGTGCAGTCCCTCTGGCCTGTGCCGGGGACCTGAGTCAGAGGGACTCGGCCTAAGGGGGACTCCTGCGGGGTAAACGCGGTAAGAGGTGGGGCGCCTCGCGGAGCTCTCCAAGCCCCTGACCCCCAAAGCCAGCCCCACATTATGACATTGGTGGGCCCTAAGCATTTTTGCCTTCGTGGGCCCCTTTCTCCATAAAAAAAAATGAAAAATTCTATTTTATGACAGCGTTGGTATAAAGACGACTGTAACCCAGGCTGGATTATCACCTTCGTTGTTCTGATTTTAAAACGCTTCCCCCGCGCCTGCCTGTGTTTAATGGACAAGCCGGCGCCGCGGCAGCCTTCGGGGGAAGCGAGGCGCGGTGTCTGCTCCCTAACGCGCCTCTGTCTCCGCAGGTCCCGCAGCGGACGGCGGCCCAGGGCGCCCCCGAGGACGGCGGCGGCGGCGCCCCGGGCGTGTGGGGCGCCTGGGGCCCCTGGTCGGCCTGCTCGCGCAGCTGCAGCGGCGGCGTGATGGAGCAGACGCGGCCCTGCCTGCCCGGCTCCTACCGCGCGCGCGCGGCCGAGGCCGGCCCGCGCGCGCCTTCGCGGGCGCGTGGTGTCGGCCGTGCGCACGTCCGTGCCGCTGCACCGGAGCCGCGACGAGCCGCGCGCCCGGCGCCCGGCAGCCGCCAGCCGCGCCGCGCTGGCGAGCCCGGCACCCGCAGCCCCGGAGCCGCGAAGCCGCCGCGGACAGAAGGTACAGTACTTGCCCTCCCTACCCGCCCGCGCCCGACGCGCCCTGCCGCCCTGCGCCGCGGACAGCAAGGCTGATGCATTGCTTCCGCTGGGCGGGGAGCAAATCTTGTCTTCACAAAGCTCCTTTCCTCTTTTGATTTATTTTGCAGCCATTTAAAGCGTTGAGGCCACTCTCACCTCACTCTGCGGTTCTACATAATCTTCAAAGCCAGGCTAATTCCCAGAGCGCCCTTAAGCGGCAACCTTAGGGATGGATGCCCCATGCAGGGGTGAAAGGAGGTGGGAGCTTTTGGCTAGTGCAGGGGGGGTGGGGAGATCCCAGGCCACAGGCTGTGTGGATTTGAGCTGACACAGGACTTCTGTCTAACCCAAGAGCTGATAGGAGTTGCCAGTCCTGGGACATGTCGCATGTTTGGTGTCTTGGATTCTCCCAAACTGTAGATTCCAAGATTCTGTGAACTTTTCTAGAAAATTTCTCCGAAGTATTTTGAGCAAACACACTGCCTTGAGAATATAGCTAATTAAAGACCTAACGTTCTTTTAGAGTCAACAAAATATAAACTCTTAAAGTGGCATAGTGTGATCACAGTAGTGGTATAGCTCTCAAATGCATAAATATACCTAACTAGGCAGTGCCCTGGGAAAGGTAGGAATATAGGTGCTGAGAAGAGCTTGTCAGTGATGAATCAATAGATATTTAATGAATACTCTGCATTAATTCAAGAGTATTTGCTGGGTGTCCTAGCACCTGGGTCCCCGGCAAGTTCTGAGAAAATACTAATGCAAAAAACCAGTAGCAACGAAAACCAACACGAACAAGAACAAAAAGTGTAAGACATGCTCTCTGTGCTTAAGAAATGTATAATTTAGTGATCAAGACCATCCCAGGCAGAGCCTGAGCTTGTCAGGTGGGCTGCCCCGCCCCTCCTGCCCACTTTCAGTTCCCACTGTGGCCCCTTGCTACGTGAGAGTCCTTCTCAGCCTGGCGCCGTAGGCTGTTGCTGCCAGCCGCTTGCTGGTGGAGAGGCGGTGCAGCCCGTCTACCCTCTCGGCCACGTGCTCTTGACCCGGTGCAGCAGGAGTTTGAAGAGAGGACCACTGCACGGAGAAGGGTGCTTTAGCTGAACCCTGAGCCAGGTTTGAGTAGATAGAAGCGAGTAGTGAAGAACATGAGTTCCAAAGTCTGGCATGGAAGAGTAAGGAGAGAGGCCAGCCTGGAGAGGATGCCTCCTCCTGTCTCTCTCTCTTCCTGCATAGAAACCTGAGCACCCTCCACTGTCACTCCGGACATGTCATCTCCTTTCATCCCAATCACAACCTCCATAGTAACATAGCTCCACAGTTCCTTATCTGAAATGCTTATGGCCCATGTGCTTTAGAATTCAGAAGTCTCTAGATGTTAGAAAGGTTAATCAGAGCATATTTCAGATATTAATGGCATTCCCTCTGTGGTATGGGGCAAATACATTATGATTAATCAAATACATTATTATTTCTGCAGTGAAACATATGGATGTTTACACCAAGTAGGATTTAAAAAAAAAGACCAAAAATAAAGAGCCTTATATCAGTTAAGGTCACGTTTGCTGGCCAGTGAGTTTTGTCACCAAACTGAAAAACATAAAAAGAAAAGGAAAGACAAAAACTTTGTTTTTAAAACTTGTGATTACAGAATTGTGGATTTATCATAGCTAAGGTGTATCGAATGCCTCTTCTGCCCCAGACACTGCTGATCACTTTGCGCTGACAGCCCTGCAGGACGGGTGTTAGCATCATCCTCACTTAGGGAGAGGGAAGGGAGGCCCAGACAGCCAGTATGTGAAGAGTCAGGCCTAGAGCCCAGGCAGCCACGGCTCTAAGGGCCTGGCGACGTAGATGTTACACATGAGGAATCTGAGGACCTCGAGCCAGTGGACAAGCTGAGATTGGAAGGTGGTGCTGCCGACTCCCACATCCCCGGGGCACTCGGCTTCGTGCCAGGTGCCAGCTGTGGGGGTGGAGGGCGGAAGGGCTGGGCTTGGGTGGGGCCTGGATGAGAAAGGGGCTTTTCCGAAAGCCTCTGTGGCTGAGAACCTAGGAGAGCTGCCCAGGAAACAGGCCCTTGTTGGCCACAGGCCTGTGCTGCAGGCATTCCGCCTGTGTATTTTGGCAGCAGGACATTTTTTTCTTCTAACTTATTGACAAGGGGCCAGTTACTGTTTACTATGAAGTTGCTACAAGTTTTTATCATGCTCTTGTAATTTGACAGTTTCTGATGAAATAATCCAAATATTATCCTGGGAGGCCTGTGCTGCCTACAAATGTCATGCTCTTCCCGGCTGATGAAAATCACATTTGCTTATATTTATCAGTCATTAGGAACTTGCATGGTGTATTTGACCCCAAGGAGAACATGTCAGCATGTTCTCTGGAGGGCTGTCGGCTCCACTCTCTGTTGCAGGTTTGAGGTTTGAGGCAAAGGCTGTTGAGGTTTAGATGTTTAAGAAACTGTTAAGGTTGTTCTGCTAGGCAACTGAAAACTTCATTGGAGCCAGATAAATAAAACTATTCAACCTTCTAGCAAATATTTATTAAACATCTACTATGTTGTAAGGCCCTGGGACAGACACAAAGGTGAATAAAAACCAGGTTGTGGGATCTCAAGGCTCTTAGTGACATGCTGGAACAGTTGTTTGCAAAATACTCTTTTTTTTTAAGCAGAAATATCCTTTCTGCAAAATCAGTCTTGGATTGATGCTCAGTTTGTAACATGCATAAAAGCTGAGCTGCTCTGGTTGAAGCCTCAGAAGCATTTCTGTAGATCCAAATGGGGTGCAGATCCAAATGGAACAGTAGTTTGCAACATTGGCTAACCATTAGAATCCTCTGCCCATCCTTTAGAAATCCTGACACCCATGTCACAGCCCAAACCAACATCAGAATCGCTGAGGGTCATCCTCTTGCATTGCTATGATTCCAAGCCAGTCAAGTTTGGGAACCATTGGTCCGGAGGAACCTCTTTGAAAACTCAAGTTTCCATGGAGAGGATTTTGGGAATTGAATATTGCCTAGCAGATTTTTTTTTCAAGTTTGGTGAGCACATGTCAGAATCACTTGTAGGGGGATAGAGTGGCTTTTTAGAAAGAAAGTTGCCAAGTCCACACCATATCCCGTGACTAATGGGGATTCTGATTTGTAGGTCTGTCACGTGTCCTGGGTATTGTTACTTTACATGATTTTGATATGCCCCAAAGTTTGAGAGCCACTGCTTCACTGTAAGGCAGTATGATGGAATAGTAACAGTAATGATAATGCTGCCAGTTTGGAGCATGCCTGTGTGCAGACACTCTCTCCAATGCACCGTAGCATTTACAGTTCACACAGCCCTACGTGACAGAAATGGCCATTCACACTTTACAAGCAAGGAAACTGAGACTTGGAGGAGTGAAGTGACCCTGCTCAAGATCATCCACTTTAGAAGCAACAGAACTAGAAGCCAAACATAGGTCTGTAGGAGTCCAGCTCTGCATTTCTTTAAACCGAAATGGGTATTCTGAAAGTAAGCTGCTGACTTCCAGCAGTTGTGGCCAGAAAAGCTGCTTGGAGGTTGGGCTGCCCGAACCACGTCTTGACAAGGGGATGGGATTTGATTGTCAAGGCTTAAAATTAACTGTGTATCTTCTTTGCAGTGTTCAGCTCCTTTAACCAGGGAAATCTTTGCATCTAATCCTAGGCACCACAGGGGTTCAAAAACAGTGGAAGCCACAGTCCCTCTCCTCAGGGGCCTTGTGCTTTGGTGGTAGATGAGAGACAAACCCATAAAACCCTGCCCATGCTGGAATACTGCAGAGATGTGGCCAGGGTTTGGGAAGAGGGAAATCCTTGTGGGATGAAGCAGTCAGGGAAGACCACACAGAGCAGGTGGGATTTGAACCTGTCCTTAATGAGTAAATAGAATTTACATAGCTGGTAGATATCTGGAAACTTCTTGAGTCCACTTGCTTCCATCTCAGGCCCTAGTCTCATTAACATACCGCATATATACTACAAATCCGACTCTAAAAATTAGTCTCATAAATAATGTCAGTCTTTATTGGAGCTCTCCCAACAACTCTGAGCTTAGGAAAGTTAAACTTCTCTAAGCCTCCGGGGTTTCATCTCTCAAATGAGAGTAATAATATAAGACCTATCCTGTGGGGTTAATGAAATGAAATAACAGATTTATGTTGTCTGGCCCATAGTAGATGCTCAATAAATTGTAACCCCGTTGTGGTGTTAAAAGCTGGTGTTGTGCAGCGTGTTGGAGAGAGTTGGAACTCAAGTACAGCAGGAGGGATCAGGTGGAGAACTGGGCAGACAGGAAGCCTGGGGCTGGGGGCTAGTCCAGGAGCACAGGACTCTGGGAAGCACAACATGGGTGTAGCCACAACCCTGGGGTCTAGGCTCCCTGCCGTCTGCCCTCTTCTCTCTGCTTGGTGTGATTTGCTCAGAAAAGCCCTCCACAAAGAGTGACATTTCCTTGCAATTTAGGACTGTGGCAGCCTGGGGCGGGGGGGTTCTGGCCTGGGATGTTCAGCCTGCAGGTCATGGCCAACAGATTCCATAATGACCCTCAGCCAAGTCCGTCCTCACTCCAGGCCCAAGGCTGTGTCCCTGTGACGGCTATAGGAGCCGGGCAGGAGGGTGTTTAGGTGAGTCCCACAGAGGGTGCAGCAGTGCCGCACCTCACACCTGCGAAATCGAAGACCGTCCTCTCTAGGAAAGACTTCCCTGTCAGTTTCTGCAAATGGGAACTTGTAGACTGGAGAGTGTTGGAAAGAGCCCTTGTTACTATCCTCCCTTTTTCATCCTCCAAATTTTTATTTTGTTAAAATACACATAACATAAAATTTATCATCTTAGCCATTTTAAGTGTATAGTTCGGTGACAGTAAGTACTTTGTTGTGCTACCAACATCACCATCCATCCACAGAACTCTTTTCATCTTTCAAACCTGAAACTCTGCTCTTTATACATTAAACG